TTTTTTCCAAAATGGCAGCTATGGGGCAAAGTGAGCCAAATGCTGTGGGGTAAATTGAGTCAGCATTTTAACTTACCCCACCATAAGGCACTTGTAGTTCAGTTAAATCTCTGAATTATAAACTGGTATTTTAATGTGATATTACTGGTTTAGTTTATCATATATACATATTTTATTTGATAGGGACAGTGTACGAGTGCACCAAATCCTTCTCTGATAAGAACCAGAAAATGCTTTTCATCGCATTATGATCAGATATATCTTTCCACCTGTAGTCCCTAATGGCCAACAAACCCTCTGTTTAGTCTGTTTTTAGGAAGGCTACAACTTTAGTGGTCAACATATTGTTTCAGAAATGCAAACAATTAAATATTGAAATTTAATCTTCATTTGGTTGGTTTTATGTTGTTAAAGTTAACTTCATGAAAAGAAATATAACTGTTTGTAAAAGGAAATTATTAAATTCGTTTTTTTAATTATTATTTATTTCACATGGGTTTGAATCAGATTTGGTCAGATGGTCATTTTACACCCAGATGGTGCATCTTACCCACTGACTCGACTCGGGTCAACTTACCCCTAACCCGGGGAAAACTGAGCCATGGGAACACTTTTATTATAAGAAGCAGGGGCGGATTGGCCATCTGACAATTCTGGCAAATGCCAGAGGGGCCGGACCATTTTGTTTAATGTGGGCCGGTCAGATTTGTTCTAAATATATATAAATAAAAAATTTTTTACAGGCCAACAGCGCATAGGACAGGTTTTTATCACTTGCACGATTTCTCTATGGTTATAATAATAATAATGTAAATAATAAATAAATGTTAAGCATTTGGCCCAGTCGGCAATGGCCGGCCGCCTGGTCCCGAGATGGGCTGACCGAACCTTTCAGTCAAAATCAAGCACGTCATCAGAGAGATTGCAACACGAGCTAATTTTCAGTAAAAGCTAGATAATGGACCGTAAAAAAGGAGAAAAACTTTGAGAAAGGAAAAAAAAGGGGCTTAAGTCCGACGCTGCTAAATGCGCAAAATTAACCGAACTCTTTTCAAAAGGTTTAAATTCGGCTACTGCAGCGGAGGACAGTTAGTGCCGCAGAGGTAAGAAGAAAACAGAAAACACAGCTAGCACAAGTCATTTTCACACTACTTCTGCCAGTTAGCTCCTGTGTGTGTTTTTTTTTTTGACAGTAGCCTACATTTTATTAAACAGTTGTAAGCTTAGCGTAGAACCCCAGTATATTTTAAAATGTCATTGCTTCGTGATAATTGGTTAACTTAAGTGTTAATGAGCCTGTTACGGAATTGCATGACTGAAATATCAGCAGATAAAGTGGGATTTAGGGTAAAAACTGATGTAGGCTACTTGCAATATAGTCTAACACATCAAAAACCTATAGCAATAGCCATAGTACTATAG